AAAGTGACGTTTAAAAGATTATTTAAGGGCTTACCTGTTAAAATTACTTGTTCGCCCATTTTAACTTTTACGCCATTTAAATCGAAGATGATGGTCAGTCCTCGTTGTTGCATACGGTGTACTGAGAGCAGATTATATGGAACCTCGGGACAGAACAGGACGTTTTCCAAATGACCATTCACTTCTAAATTTGTTGTAACGGCAACTGTTCCTTTTTTGGTTGCAACAACGGATGTTCCACTTTTAGCGACACCAATGCTTATTGGAACTGGTAGTTCATCGAATGATGAAAACACATCATCTCTGTTGACGATATGGTCAGTTGCGCCTGAGTCCAAGATAAATTGTATTTCACTTCTGGTTGTAGAATTTTCTTGGTTGCTTCTAAGCATAAAAGCAAAACTTTTATCATTTTCTTGCACTGTTTGTAGTGTGCATGGGCGAGATTGACTTGAGGTGTTTAGAGTTTGCTTATAATAATAGCAATCTTGTTTTACATGGTTACTTCGGCCACAATGATTGCACTTGATGTTAGATAATTTTCGCTTTGAAATAGAAGTATTATATTTTGGTGTTTGTGGTTTAAATTTATTTTTGAAATTATTTTTCTTTGCAGGAAAACTAGGTTTAAATTGACGTTGCTGTTGTTGTCCTCTTAAACTGGTAACTTGCAATACTTTGGTACTGGTTCCTTCTCCTGCCTTTAACTTCACCTCATGATCCAACAATCTGGTTTTAACGAATGCTAGTGTGAGATTTTCATTATTTAAAGTCTCCAATGCTGTTATAACACCATCATATTCTGCTGGGAGAGTGAGCAGTAAGTGAGATACTCTATCAAATTCATCCATTTGCGCTCCAGCTGCAATCAATTCAGCAACAATACTTTCAAAAACTGTATAATGTTTCAATAAACTTTCCTCACGTGCCAGCTTTAATGTCAACAAGCGTTTACGTAATGCAAGTTGAGAAGCTAAGCTTTTTCGTTCGTAAATAGCATCCAAGCTTTTCATTATTTCTTTAGCGTAAACTTGCTCTTGAGCAAAACTCAGAAAAGAATCACTCAAGTACTCCACTATAGTATTTTTGGCAATTAAATTGTGTTTTAGCCACTGAGCAGAAGGTTCATCAGGAAGTTCTTTGTTTATTACATATACAACTTCCAACTCCGCTAACAACGAGTTTATGCGAAACTTCCATATTCCGTATCGCTCGCCGTTAAATTGTTCTATATGCCGTTTGCTTGTTTTATTATCCATTTTGAAACACACAACTGATTATTTCTTTTAATTTGGATTCTCACTAAACTTGATTACAAAAGTTAATGAGGAAACAATATAGAACTGGGCCCATAACCTATTAGAAGAACGAAAGGTATTTTGGGCTGAAATCAAACAATTGCTATTTGCTCAATATATGCGTATATTGGAACAAATGTTGAAGCAGAACTAACTTGGCAAAATCAAATAAATGTATTCATACATAGGAAAACCTCGAAACGTGTTTACATTAACACCCCGAATTTTAATGATGTTTTGATAAACAAGTGACACCAAATAAAATATAAATAAGGGAAGTTTAAGTTTTGCCTCTATAACTATATAATATTAAATTATTATATTATGTAATAGAAATATTGATATTCATATATCTAATATTAGAACATTCCAAAACACTTTCCAACAGCATTTTAAAAGGCTTTTTTTTCAATTTGAACAAAAACAGTAAAAAGTTACTTTGGGCTAAGGCCCTTCTGCCGCCTAGGGCCCGGTAGAGCCTTGAACCGGCGCTGACGCCGCTTTCCTGTTGGTCAGTGGGAAGTATATCATTTCCCTTTTGCCACTCATATCTGCGAGGCATTCCCGTATCCGCAACCCTGGGGACGCGTTCTCTAGGAGTTCTAGGCTCCCATATCTCGAAATCACTGGATTCTGCTTAAAATAGTGCTGTAAGGAAGTTTTTACAGAAATCAATTGTAAATAAAACAGCTATGAAGTTTTCGCACTCGCAGTAATACTAAAAATGTTGGAACGTCCTCTAGTGGCAAAACAATTGAAGATATCAAAATGCGGTTTCCACCAATTAAAATTTCATGACATTCGAGCTCTAGGGTGGAGGATTAATTTTCTTGTATCTCGCTCTGAAATTGACGTTTCCTATTAAAAGTGTCTAAATTGAACCACCCTGTACATACATACATACATACATACAATTATAAAAAGTGTTAAAAAAATATGCCCTAGGACCAGTTTATCAGTGGACGGTTATTGGAGATATGAATTTTGATATGTTAGTGTCAGATAATAGGAAAACTATATAAATAGACTGAAAGTTCTATCATATTTAACTTATGTAATGAGAAGTAAATCAATTAAAAAAAAACTTTAATTGATCATATCAAGTAATTTTGAAGATATACAAAATGAACCAGAAATTATCATGAATCCTGTAAATAATTATAATATTCAAATATTGAAAATTCCATTAAAATCGCATAATATCTGCTACCATTCCTAGGGCGTTTTCATGGCCAGCTTGTGTGAAACCTTAAACCACCAAGCTGAACAGCTACCAAGGTAATCTATATCCCTAAAGCGGGATGCAAAGAACCAACACCTCAATCATTCACACCAATAAGTTTGACATCTTTCCCGCTGAAATGATTTCAGAAAGTACTGGATGAGTGGATTAAGGAAAAGGTGCTCAAGACGAATCTTCTTAGTACTCATCATTATGCCTATCAGACAGGGAAGTCCATAGAGCCTCGCTCTTAGCAACCTGGTAGCTAGCCTATAGACGGCTCTTTGGAACGTAAGAGCATTGCACTTGTCGCCTTCCTGGACATAGAGAGAGCTTTTAACAATGCGACGCCAAACTCTCTCTATTAAACATCAAAATCGCCCTCGATCCGCTAATTTGTAACTGAATCAGGATGGTAGAATGCCATTCAGCATGGTCAAAAAGATTATGATAACGACCTCTCTGCATGGGAAAACTGTCAGGGCTGCCAGGGGTGAGTATTATCTCCGCTTCTGGTCACTTCAGGGTGGATGACCTTCTGGCCGTGATACAATTATGGGGAGTCGAGGTTCAAGCATATGCGGACGATCTAGTAATAATAGCCAAGGACAGCTCCGAGACGAGGGTCGCAGCTACACTCCAAGAAGTGTTAGATAGTTAGACTACATGCTTGATTGGTGTGAGAAAGACAAAATGACGATCAATCCTTACAAAATGACAATAGCACCTTTAATGAGTAAAAGAAAACCTATTCCTGAATATTCGAAGAGAAAAAGTGCCATTTTCAAGTGGAGCAAAGTATTTAGGGGTCATCCTGGACAAGACTTCTAAACTGGAACGCTTATTTGAAAAAAGTGAGCCAAAAGGCAAGTCCTTGGAACTGTCGCAGCATCTGTGGAAAAACCTGGGGGCACCAATCCAAAGCAAATCCACTGAATTTACACCATGGTCATCAGACCAATGATAACCTAAAGATCTGTAGTATGGTAGGGCAAAGTGAACAAGAAAAGGGTTCAAGCCACACTTACTGAACTACAGATAATGGCTTGTCTGGCGATAACGGGAGCCATATAGAAGTCCTCATAAATCTAACTCCCTTTCATATATATAAATATGTAATTATGAAGAGGGAGGCAATGAGGACAACCTATCGGCTATAACCATGTTTCAAAAGGCACTTTGGAGTGTGGAAGCGCAATGCAACACACGGTGCTTGAGGACGAAATAAATCGACAAGGCATCCTCAAAATGCCTCCTGACATAATGCCAAATAAAACCAACTTTGGTTCGCCCTTGAAAACAATGCCAAGCAAAATTTTATAAATTTAAACCGTTTCATATTCTCCCGTTTCAGCACTTAACAGCTGCATAAAAAAACTTCGCTTTCAGTTTGTTCCCCAAATTATAATTTGCCAACAAGACAATGATCCTGATTTATTCAACAAAAATGTATGGACAGACGGAACAACATTTAATTTACCACATCAGGTTATTTGATCGACGAAACACTCATCACTGGGCTGTAGAAAACCCCAGAAAATTTCGAACTATCAAATTTCAAGGAAGAAGTTCGATTTATGTTTAGTGTGGTATCTTGAATAGAATTTTCGGTCCAGTATTTTATAACGGCTCACTAAAGGGATTCCTTCAAAACCAAATAGATTTTTTTTTAGATAGATGATTAACCGTTAGAAGAATATGGAAACTTGATTTGGCAATAAGATGGAGCTCCTGAACATGCCTTGTATAATGTTTAATTTTTCAACCAACGCCGTAGATATTGAATGGATTGGACGTAATGGCACAATTTTTTGGCTACCCCAATAGCCCTGACATCTCACTTTCTTTTGAGTCATCTAAAGAATGTAGCATACTTACAAAGAAACCAAAATATTGAAGAAGTCATGGAAAGAATTGTTTCAAAGAGGATATCGATATTATTTGGAGAACAACCGGAGTCATATTAAAAACCTAAATTATTAGTAGTTTTGTTTTATTAGTTCAAGTATTTATGAATGACTTTGTGACTATATTCAAGTCAGTAAGTCAACTATGTCAGTCATATAGAAGCTTTTTGCCTTTGTAATAATGTCGTCTGTGTGTATTGTCTGATTATTATAAACAATAGTCCTTGATGTATTATCAAGGAATGTTATTTTCTATCTATTAGAAAGGAAACTAAATCATCCACAATCTTACATCCACTGAATTGAAGAAATTACCATCAGTATTATTAGATCCGCTCTAGTACTGAATCAACCAGAAAATCAACGTACATATAATAGTGCACCTCCAAATTTAGACCAAAGTTCTTAAGCTTTTTTTAAAATTTATTGATGTTTGGTACCTATTTCTTATAATATTTTGGGTTTTAATGCTAAAACTGCACTTGAAAAGGATTTTACATCTATAAACTTTGTGTCCTTTTCTACTACTTATTCCAAAAACAAAATCACTTACCCAAACTCTTATTTTTTCAGGTATTTGGTGCTCTAACGTCGTGCGCCCTCCACGTCTCCGACCACTTCTACGGCACCGGCGAATCCCTTTTGTTCCGTTTCACCCCCCATTTCCAAGTCTACAACTGGACCGGCGAAAACTTGTATTTCATCAAGGGCAACAACGAATCGCTGAGCATCGGAGCCGGAGATGGAAAATTCGGCCTCTGGCTCGACGGCGATTTGTATTTAGGCCGCACCGAATCCTGCAAAACTTACGGAAACGATCCGCTGACACCTAAAGTTGATTTCGTTGTCAAAACTTTAGAATGTTGGGCGTTTATTTCTAGTTAAAAGCCTTATGAATGTGGATAATAATTGTGATTTTTTTTCACGAGAGGGTCTTGGGCAAAAGAGGAAAAAAACAGAACCATGAAGCATATCAAAAAAAAAAAAAAACAAAAAAAAAAAGACCGTAAGTAAATTAGATTTTGAAGAAAAAATAAACAGCAAAAATGCTTATTTAGTAGTGCCTATAAGTCACTACAAATATTAAGTAAATATTGTTATAAAGTTGGTAGGGCTTTTTTTTTAGATGAGAGATGTTTTATCGAGGAGCATCTGTGAGGACTTATGTAACAAAACATGTTTTACTCTAATATGAAATGTTTTGTTATTTAACCTAGATGTCCTTATGCTTATATATAATATTTATTTACAAATGAATATAATGTTATTTATTGTAAAAGTTACCGATTTTGTCGTCTTAAACAGGAAATAAATGGCTGTCTACAGGGTGTTTCATTTAAAGATACTACAATTGAATTTATTTCAAACACAGTAATTTTTCAAAGGATTGTGGAAGTTGAGAGTGCTGAGAAATTGAATTGTTTCGAGCTTTTAGTATGAGTTGCCTCAATGTCTCAAAAATAGTTTCAGTTTATTTTAGGGTCTTTTTCTTTTGTATGGAGACTGTGGGTATTTTGACATTCTAATTGTTGTAGAAAGAGTTCTAGACTAGTTTTGTATGGTTTCAAGAATAATCCTCTACCCATGGCAATGGATTCCACTGTTTGATTATGACGTTGATTGACTGACTTAGGACCGATTTATCAGTGGACGGTTATTTAGTTAAGCTGTCAGTAAACTTGTAATTATCATTAGCTAACCGACATCTAAACTAAATAACCGTCCACTGATAAACCGGTCCTAAGCATCATTAACAGCTTTAGCAATTCCTGTAGCTCCTCCACTTAATGCACCCAACGCACTTGGGACCCGTTTTTCAGTGGATGGTTATTTAGTTTAGCTGTCATTTAACTAGTAATTATCATTAGCTAAACTTGATAAATGTCCACTGATAAACCGGTCCTTAGCGTCATTAACAGCTTTAGCAATTCCTGCAGCTCCTCCACTTAACACACCCAACGCACTTAGGACCGGTTTATCAGTAGATATTTATATAGTTTGGCTGTCGGTAAACTAATATTTATCATCAGTTAACCGGCAGTTCAAGTAACTAACCGACAGTTTGACCATATAACCAGCCACTGAAAAAACAGTCCTAAGTCTCGTATTTGCGCAGTTGATAGTTTTCAAGGCCGCCATGAACATGCTCAAAACTTTAATAGAAACACTTTGTATTATTATTTCTTGCCGCTTGCTACAACGAATGTTTTGTTTATAAATTTTCTGTATTGTAGACTTAAGAATTTTCTAAGATACCGCATGCACGAGATTGAAGACGTCAAATTTAGCTCAGTTTTCTTAGACAAAGAATGTTTTTAGACAATAATCTTTATTAAATGAGGAAGGTTGTATTTTACGTCTGTCTGATGCATGTTTGACTCAATATTACGATTTTCCAGGGTTTAGTTTTAGAAAACACATGGAACAACCCTTAAGCAGCTAATTTTTACTATACAAAATATAAGTAAAATCAAACCCCTTTTACTTAGGGATATAAATAGCCTTGATTGTGTTGTAGCAATTATTGATTGTTGGGCGAGGCCATTGAAATTGTGAATGTCTTTTTTGTCAATTAGTCGCCTATATGTTATATGAATATACTATATTAAAAATACATTGCCATATCATCATTCGTCAATTTTAGCTTTGTAGCTTAGCTAATTATTATCCCGGTTACTTTTATAAAACATTGATAAAACCTTGAGTTAACGTTTTGCGATGTTTTATAAAATAACATTCATTTTACTAACTAAAAGAGTTGTATATTTATTTATTGTTTTTTTTTCACATATTCAGGGTAATTTATGTAGCCTGTGCATTAGATTGCAGGTGCTATTTCTACTAATCCACCTGCAAACTAGACAACTTCTAATGCACAGGCTATGTAAATCACGGTGTATATTTATTGTTTGAGAAATGAAAAATGTTAACAAACCCTATATACAAAAAAATCATTATTCCATTGCTATTTAGAGAGGTACGTTCCAACAAGTACCAAAAAACCCCTTTTTTTGATCCTTGTCGCAACGGCACAAACAAATTATTGCATTTATGTGATGTTAAGGTTAACTAAAATCATTTTATTATATAAAATTTAGACTTTGTAGTAGGAAGTACTTATAACCTATAATATATTGATTTTTTCGCCTGTTGCATATTAATGGCAGTTTATATATCGAGTACCTAATTGAAGAATTTACAAAAATACATAATATAATATATTTTCTTAGAGTCACAGAATATTAATATTGATAATTTATTTTTCTGATTAAACTATAATGATCAATTTATTGTAAAACGGGTCCTTTAGAAGCCTCTGTTAATTTTTTTGCTTATTAATTAGTTTTCGGACGGACATATTGTTATAAATTGTTGTCCGTCTGTCAGTCAGTATGTAGCCCATTATTTTTAGTATTTAGATTTAGTTATTGCTGGATTGTACTATATTTAAAATATTTGTTAGAAGTTTTTCTCTGTAAAAAAAAATAATATGCAAATTGTAAATAATTTAAAAGATGAATAAATTTAAACAAAACAAATATTGTATTTTAAAAAAAATGAATTTCATTTACCCATTAACTCCCTCATTAGATGCATAATGATTTCTGATTCATGGCATGTTTTTCTCAGAAGTCTATAAGACATGTTATGTGATTCATTCAAATTGGATGATTTTTCTTGAGTGAGCAAATGCAGAGTAAGGAAAGTTTGTGTAAATTCAGGGAAGTACAACGAAGTTCAATAAAAATTGAGACAAATTTATTAGACAAATAGTTGACAATTTTTTTAGAAGAAATTGAAAATTCAAGTTCTCGGAAAAGACAACTTTTTTAGGGGCGCCTCTGAGCGACGGTACTGGCTGACAGGGTACTATGTCCTGCTCTGGAGTTGGATCTGACTCTTGCAGTGGTGTAGTCAGGCAAGGCTCACTGGCCTGCTTCATGGACTGTGGTGAATCCACTGATCTAAGCGTGACCAGCTGATCTACTGGTGGTCTAGCCGGTGGTGGCGCAGTTTGTGGGCTAAGATGCGTGCGAGGCTCTGCAGCTGACTGCGGCCTTGGTAAGGCCGACTGCTGTGGCGTAGCTTGTGGCGGCCCTTGAGAGGGCAGTGATTGTCGGGGGGCTGGATGGGGTGGCAGCGAAGTTTGCCGTGCCAAAGGCCTTGGCTGTGCAACAGGCTGGATTTCATCAGGAGCTATGTGAGCAGGCGTAAGTTGGTCTGTCGAGATGGTTTTGTGTTCGCCATTGACATTAATGACAAATGTGCGATAGACCTTGGACTGTTGGCATTGTTTGGCCCAGCAGAAGACATCTTTGCGGAGTCCTGGCCAGAAATACTTGAGCGCTATGCGCTTAGCGGTGGCTCCGCCACTGGGGTGTGATAGGGCGGTGTGCGGTTTCAAATGCCTGACGTCTCAGGCTCACAGGAAGAGGCTATAATCAATGACAGCAAAATAGATTGGACAGTCTTCCATTTCGAGCTGTTGGAAGTTCACCCTGAAGATTTCAATTAGGTGGCCAAGCTGTTCGTCTGTAGCTTGGGCCTCACTGATGGTGTGAGTATCTAGTGTAGTGGGCATAGATACTTGGTCGACTCGTGACAGGGCGTCTGCCACAGTGTTGTCAACTCCAGGTGTGTGCACGAATTCCACATCAAATTGGAAAATGTAGTCGAGCTGTCTTGTCTGCCGGGCGAAGTCTTCTCGGGGTTTTGTCTCGCTGCGAAGGTCTGTAAAAATAGCAAAGGGCCTACCTTCAAGAATCCTTGTAAAGTGTTTGACCGCAGCGAAAACAGCGAGGAGCTCGCGGTCATATGTAGAGTAGCATTGTTCTGTGGGTGACAGCTTACGTGAAAAGAACCCAAGCGGAACCCATGAACCATCTGGTTGACGTTGGTCCAAGGCGGCACCAATGGCAAAGTTTGACGCATCTGTTCTGAGTGCAAGTGGCTGTGATGCAGACAGGAAGACAGTTTCGGTAGTGTTTACGATTGCTGCTTTGCTATTTTCAAAAGCGGCCTCAGCGTCGGCGGTCCAGGACAGAACCGATTTCTTGGCTGTGGACCCTTTGAGCAGCTCGGTAAGTGGCGCTTGGAGTTCAGAAGCAGCACCTGTAAAAATTCAACATGTCCAGGAAACGACGCAACTGTGAGGAGTCGTGCGGCTTTGGGAAGTCAGTGATGGCTACTGTGTTTGGTGCAGGCGGGCTGATGCCAACTGATGTGACCAGGTAGCCTGCAAAGACAATTTGGTTCAGACCAAAGTGGCACTTGGACCAGTTGACGGACAGTTTGGCTTCCCTGAGGGTAGACAGCAGGAATCGAAGGTGCTGCTGATGTTCGTCGTGGTTAGTGGAGTGGATCAGTATGTCGTCCTCATAGCATTTGACGAAAGCTGATAGCTTTCGGAGCAGGTGGTTCATTGTGCACTGAAGGGATTGGCATGCGTTGCACAAACCCATTGACATGCCCAAAAATTCAAAGAGGCAAAATGGTGTCGTGACCGCCGTCTTCTGGACGTCCTCCGGTGCCACTGGGATCTGGTAGAAGACGCGCTGTAAATCCACAACAGAGAAAACCTCACCTTTACAGTTTTGCAATAGGTCCTCAATGAGTAAAGGGTAACGGTCTGGCTGGGTTACACAATTGAGGCGGCGGTAGACACCAGTGGCGCGCCATCCATCATTGGGCTTTGGCACGAGGTGAAGTGGACTGGACCACTGACTTGAGGACGGTCGAATGATGCATCTCTCAAGAAGCAGGTCAAATTCCTTGCGTGCAGCAGCCAGGCAGTCGCCTGCAAGGCGGCGAGGGCGCGCGTAAACAGGTGAGCCTGTGGTGCACAGGTAGGTCTGGGAGTGATGCCATTGCTCCAGGAGCTACGGCGAGGTCAATGAACTCTTGGACTATTGCCCTGTATTTCTCTCCCATGGCACCTTTGGGTATCTTAAAAGTTGGAGCAATCTGGACGCTTGTGATGTCTGGTTCGGGGCCTGCCATGCAGGTCGTGGTTAGGCTTGTGCGACCATCGAGGAAGCAGGCACGCTTGTGAGGTCCAGAATGAGGTTGTGGTGGGCCAGGAAGTCAACTCCAATTATAGCTGTCGTGACTTCAGCGACGTAGAGAGACCATTCGAATGGCATGCGAATGCCTAAGTTGAGCTGTAACAATTTTAAGCCAAATGTATTAAAGGCTCGGTTTCCTCGGATGCGGGACGGAGACGGAACAGGTGCCGCAGACGTTGCCGTCATTAAAATATGAAGATGTGCTTTCCTAAGCAGCGGTGGCGCGACGGTAGCGGAGTGCAGTTTTTTTGACGCTAGCGGAATCACGCCACCGGTCGGTCGACAGGCAACTTCGACAGAGCGCAATACAGACGGAATAATATTATACAGGGTGATTCAAAAGTAAGCGGCATCCTTTCGGGGGCGCATTCCTTGCATAAAAATAATACAAAAAGTTCCTATTAACATGGGTCCGGAAATGCTTCCTAAGGGAGCTACGCCCCTTCGAATACGACACCTGAAAGATGTATTTTTCTCCATAGGTAACTTTGAAACCCTTCACAAATGGATTTTGAAAATTGGTGTATTTTATAAACATTTGATGGCAATTAAGATACTAAATTGAAAATTCGAAAATCTTAATCAGTGGTGTCACATACTGGGGAGGGTGAGGGTTAAAGCATTCCTATTTTTTTTACTCGTCAGGTTTTTGCGAAACATACGCAAATCAGAAAAATTTCAAAGTGAATTTTCTCGTAAACGGTGCGCTGTATCGAATTGAAACCAGAGTACCTTTTCTGTGTAAAAAACTCTAAACTTTCCGAATTTCCAATCAGAATCGCAAAAACCTGACGAGTAAAAAAAAATGGGATGTTTTAACCCTCACTCTCCCAAGTATGTGACGCCACTGATTAAGATTTTTGAATTTTCAATTTAGTATCTTAATTGCCATCAAATGTTTATAAAATACACCAATTTTCAAAATCTATTTGTGAAGGGTTTCAAAGTTATAGAGAAAAATACGTGTTTCAGGTGTCCTATTCGAAGGGGCGTAGCTCCCTTAGGAAGCATTTACGGACCCATGTTAATAGGAACTTTTTGTCTTATTTTTATGCAAGGAATGCGCCCCCGGAAGGATGCCGCTTAGTTTTGAATCACCCTGTTGTCGAATTTTACAAAAGATAGCAAAGTGAGTTATTGATTGATTTAGTGAGGCAGTATCCCGTGTTGTATAATTTATCTATTTATATGTTTAATAAAATACAAAATAGCAAATCTTGGGAATCAATTTCCATACACGGTTTGCCGAACCGCCCACGTCGCGTCGTCTTCGAGGAAAGCACTAGCTCCCTAGCGCGATACGCCGGGAAGCGCTATGACTCCGACACTCAATCACCTGCAGAACAGTATCGATGTAGACTTATTTGTAGGTTCAGTAAACTCTTTTAAAAAAAATATCTTGCCAGTGGTTCGCAATGCTGATAATTGTCCTGGCGGAAGTATGGGAGGGTGACTATTTCTATCTCTATTTTTATTTCCTATTTTAACTGAGTAAACAATGCTAGTTTTTCTCATTATTTTTATTTTTGTTTTTATTTTTATTTTGATTTATACTTATTTTTATCTATATTTTTATTTTTATTTTTATTTTTATTTTTATTATTGTTTTTAGTTTCATAGTTGTTTTTATTTTTGTTTTAGGCTTCTTATTAGTTTTCTGGATCTTATGTGTGATATAATCTTAGCTTTTAAATTTTCATATTTTTGTTCGCTCTTAAGTGCACTAATTGTCTCATTATTGGGAGTATGTATTCCTGTTAGACAATAAAGAATTGAATTTGAATTTGAATTTGAATTTGACACGCTTGCGTTCCGTTTCAGTCCCGCATCCGAGGAAAGCGAGCCTTTAATGGGGGTACCGTTTGCTGCAAGCAAAACCAGGTCTTGCTTAATTAACTGTCCCTTAATCACTCGTTCTGGTAAAATTGAAATAACGGAACCTGAGTCGACAAGGAATGGCAAGTTCAAATGTTTGTCACGAACATATAAGCGGTTTTCGATTGGCTGAGTACCGGCAACGACAGCCACGCTCGACGCCGGGCCTACGAGTTTCCCAGGTTGGACTGAGGCGCAGATGTAGCGACAAACGCACAAGGAAGTCTGCAATGCTGTGCTTAGTTGCCCCAGTTTGTATGGTACCAGCAAAATCTTGTTTCTGAGTCTGAGCCTGGAGGTAGAGGACCTGGTCGCGCGGGGACCCATTTGCACCGTGATTTCGGGATCTGCCACGCTCAGGAGGTACTAGGCTTGAGCTAGAAGCAAGAGTATTATTATTGTTCGACAACTGGTTAATTAATGTCCGTATTTTTGCCATATCCCGTGACATTGCATACATTCTTGCATTTGTTGCGTCGAGACCAGTTCCAAACCAGACAGTGTCGTGGAAGAACTTGGGGAAATATCTGCCCCATAGGAAGGGTTGTGTGGTAGCGGCGACGTGGACATAACTGTGGGACCAAATTCCATAACTTTGTCCGCGACAGA